AGGGGGAGGGGGGGAGGGGGGGGGGAGGGAGATGGGAAAGGGGAGGGGGGATGTGCGGGGTGTGGGGTGCGGGGTGGTGCGGGGTGGTGCGGGGGAGGGAGGGGGGGGGAGGGGGTTGCATACCTTCATTGTGTTGTACAGGGTTAAGTGTGCCGAGTGGCCGAGGACAAGGCGGTGGCGGCGTGTAGCGATGGCGAGTGGTGGGAATGACGAATGGCAACCGTGGGCGGGTCGGGTCGGCCATTGGCACTGACGCGCAAATTGCTGGCGTGACTTGCCGTGAGCTAGCTGCTGCGCTGACGGCGTGGTGACGGGAGCAACTCTACTCAATCGGCACCTCACCCTCAGCCCCCTTTCCCCTTCCTCGCCACCCCGCCCTCACCTTACACCCATCCTACCCTCTGTATCTAATGCTGCCGTCGCTGCGCTTCTCTGCTCGTGCTGCCGGCGGCGCCGCTCTCCGTGCTGCTTGCCGCGCTGTCGCTGCCGGGCCGAGGTGGCAACATAGCTCATCGGCATCGGCATCGATATCAGCATCGCCGCCAGCTCCGCCACCAGCGGCAATGGAGATGGGCCAACCAACGCCGTTTAGCCATCCGCATCTCTTTCCACAGGTCGAGGGCGTGGAGGACCAGGTGACGCCGTGCATTACCCGCGCCGAGTACGCCGATCGGGTGGCGGCGCTGGCGAGCAAGCTTCCGGCGCGGTCGGCGGCGGTCTTCCCGGCCGCGCCCGTGCCCATCATGTCCAACGACGTGCCATACCGGTACCGGCAGAACTCGGACTTGCTTTATCTGTGCGGCTTTGAGGAGCCGCACGCCGCGCTCATGGTCCACGCCTCGGGCGAGTCCATCCTGTTTGTGGCCGAGAAGGATCCGGACCGCGAGCTGTGGGACGGGCCGCGGTCGGGCGTTGACGCGGCGGCCGCCTACTTTGCCGTCACGGGCACTGCGCCCGTGAGCTCGGTCGCCGACGCCTGCCGCGCAGTCATCGACGCCGGCGGTGAGCTGCTGGTGGCCAAGGGCCCGACTCGCGACGCCAGCGTTGTCGGCAACGCAGCCTCGCGTGCATCCGAGGCCGATCCCACCTCGCTTGTCGAGCGCATGCGGGTGTTCAAGTCCAACGGTGAGCTGCAGATCATGGCCAATGCCGCTCGGATCACCTCGCTCGCCTTTGGTGCCGTCGCCGAGCGCCTCGGCTCAGGCACAGTCTACTCGGAGCGCGACGTCGACGCCCTGCTCGAGGTCGTCACCCGCTCGCGCTTTGGCGACCGCCTTGCCTACCCGCCTGTTGTTGCCTCGGGCTCCCGTGCCACCATCCTGCACTACGTCGCCAACAACCGCCTCCTGCAGCCCGGTGAGCTGCTGCTCATCGACGCTGGCGCCGAGTACTGCGGCTACGCCTGCGACGTGACCCGGACGTACCCGATCTCCGGCAAGTTTTCGGCGCCGCAGGCCCTCGTCTACGACGCCGTCCTCGTGTCCAGGAGGCTGTCCTCGATGCCGCCGACACCCAGCGAGACAAGTACGACTCGCTCGCCAAGCTCGGCGGCATGGCGACTCGCGCCATGACCGACGCCCTCGTCGAGACCAAGATCGTCGAGTCGCGTGGCGACGCCAAGCGTGCTGTCGACGTCCTCTACCCGCACTCGATCGGCCACCTTCTCGGCATGGACACCCACGACACGCCGACGGCTCGCCACACCCCGTTCGGCCCGGGCATGGTCTTTACCGTCGAGCCTGGCCTCTACTTTGGCGCACACGCGCTGCAGCTCCTCTACGACGAGTGTGGCATCGCCATCGACCCGGCCTTTGCAGGCATTGGCGTCCGCATCGAAGATAACGTCGCCATCGACGGCGCAACCCTCGACCGGCGCCTCCTCACCGCGAGCATCCCCAAGGCCCGTGCTGACATCGAGGCCGGCATGGCCGCCGCCAAGGCCGCCGCATCGGTCAGCAGCCCATCGTAGCTCCTTCCGCCCGCCCTTTCCCCATAAATTACACGTTCGGGAGGCCTGCCGTAATCTCAAAGGTGTTGAAGAAACCCGTCGGCGCCATGACGACGCCCACCAGCCCGTGGGTGGTCGGAACTCGCGCGTAGGTCGCCAGCCAGGCTAGCGTCCCACCCGACACCGCCACATCGTCCAGTATCACCACCATGGAGAATACCTTGTCGGTGAGCACATCGGTCGCTAGCAGCATCCACAACTCGCCGCGATCACCCACCTTGCACCCAAGAGCGTCCTCGATCTCGCGCTGCACCGTCGGGCTCATTGCCGCTACACTGGCTTCGGTCAGCGCCCGCGCCACCGCCGTCACCCCGCGCCACCGCTGGGTGGCATACAATGCATATGCCGCGTATTCGACCGCATGCAGCATGCGGCCCGCGGCCTCATCCTCCTCATCCACACTTGCCCGCCATCTGCTTAGCTCGCGCGTCAGCTCGGTCGACCATGGTGCCGCGTTGTCGACGTGGACCTCGGTCATGGCGGTGGGTGACTCGGCTGTGAGTGGAGTGGGAGTGGACGTGGCCGGGGCCGAGCCAGCGCACTAGCTGCACTTTACCGCTGACAACGCCCTCCTCCGCGCGTGTCAAGTAGTCCACCACGTCCGACGCACGCAAGGCTCGACGCAGAATGTCTTTGGCCGCGATCGCTTGCCATAGTACTCTAACGGCGTGCATCTGGCGTCGGCAGTCAGTCCGAGCAATCCAGACAACGGGCGAGACCAACCATGCCCAGGATACAGACGGCGACGCAGACTGGAGTGACAGTGATGATGGTGCTGATGATGACGGTGAGCTCGGTGCGGTACGGGTCAAAGGCGGCCCACTCGACAAAAACCGCCTGCCGGGCCTCGACTCCGACCGTGTATCGCGCCTTGAACTCGTCCTTGCCGATGGCCTCGTTGGCCGCGCGCTGGCAAAAGTCGACGATCGCCCGCGACTTGACCCGCACCCCGCCGCGGATGTGCGGCTTGCGCCATGCAGCCTGTCGATCTCCCGATGTCACATCGACAGCCGGGAAGCGCCGGCAGCCGTATGACCGCGGCTTTGCGCACGCGCACGCCCACACGTTGACTTCGGTCCCGTTGGGCGATGTCACCGGGGTCACCATCACCGGCAGCTCCTCTGGCGTGATCAAGCCTGTCTTTTTGAAGCTGTGCGAAATGTGGTAGCCGGTCACTGCGATCGGCATCTCGTAGTCGGTAAACTCAAAGAACCGCTTGGCCGAAAGAGCAGCAAGCTGTGCCGACCGTGTCGCCGGCACAGGGCCGATCCAGTGGTTGTCCATGTTGTCCAGCGAGCCGAGCTCGGCCACAAACACGCCTGCAGCCGAGGTGAAAAAGCAGGCAGCGATAATGGCCGCAATGGTTGCCCACGTCACAATCTCCCACTCTCGATCGTCGAAATCGTCGACGAGGATATTGATCTTAGTGAGCCCCATCACTGAGAGTACCGCTACAAAGGGGTCGCAAAGCAAAAAGTAGACCATGCCGAGAACGAGAGGAATCACGGGGTTGCCAGAGTAGTACGCAGCCACAAAGAGAACAGCTGCAAGCGCAAAGCGCCCAAACACAAGGAGGCAAGTCACACACGGCAGCCGGCTCCACTTGCCCCACTCTGCGCACCATCCGCTGCACGCAGCCTTGGTGCTGCCCTTGCCATCAGAGGTACTGTGCAACCCGCGTCGCTTGCGGAAACACGCCCACTGGGTCGAGTACGACGAGCCCGACGAATACGACTCCAGGGAAGTCGGACCGGCGTCCGAGTCACACGAATCCACTGTGTACCGCGTAGCGGTGGCCGAATCCGTCCCGTCGTAGTCGGACGATGACGCTGCCGCCCGTGACTTGCGTCGCTTGCTGGGCCTCGAGCTCGACTCGCTAGAATGAGTCGACCACAGCTTGCTGTTCGTCTTGCCCTTGCCCTTGCCCTCGCCCTTCGGCTTGCCCTTGCGGCTTGACTTGCTTTTGCGGCTCGGCGATGCAGAGTACTCGTCGGAACGACTCTGGCCGCGGCGGTGGCTATTGCTCCGGCCTTTGCGGCTGGTCTTGCCTTTGCTTCGGCCCTTGCGGCTCGCCTTGCCCTTGCCCCGGTCCTTTCGGCTCGCCTTGCCCTTGCCCCGGTCCTTTCGGCTCGCCTTGCCCTTGCCCCGGTCCTTCCGGCTCGCCTTGCCCTTGCTTCGGCCCTTGCGGCTCGGCGATGCAGAGTACTCGTCGGCATCGAGCTGAGACGACGAGCTGCTGTGGCTGCGGCGGTCGTCACGCTGCCGGGAGCCTCGGCGGTTGCTGCTCCGACCCTTGCGACTACTGCCTTTCGACCGCGTCTTGTGTGACGCCTTCTTACGAGTCATTCTTGCAGCGGGACAAGTGGAGCTATGCCAACGAGGTCTTCCGCATCACCTTCAGCCTCACGCTAGCGGGAGCTACGCAGGGCAGAACCGCGAGCGAACCGCAAAAACAAAAAAAAAATGGGCAAAACGAGGCACACCTGCAGGCTTCCGGCGACAGCTAATTGTCCACGATGCCGCACCAGCAGAGGACAAACACAAGGGCGGCGCCGCCAAACGAGGCCGTCACCGACCAAATGATGACGTACAGCTTTGTGCGGTACCGCGGGAGGGAGGCCCACTCGATGAAGACCGCTTCATGGACAGGGAGCCCGAGCTGATACTGGTCCCGGAAGCCACGCTTGTTGACTGCGTCGCCGGCTGCCCGTCGGCACACGTCCAGCAGCTTCTTGGAAGTCACTCTGACGCCACCGTTGATGCTTGGCTTCCGCCACGCTCCCTGCCGATCACCCGACGTCACATCGACTGCCGGGAACTGGCGGCAGCCGTACGAGCGCGGCTTGGTGCACGCGCACGCCCACACGTTGACCTCGGTCCCGTTGGGGGCCGTGATTGGCGTGGCGAGCGTTGGCAGGAGCAAAACGCCCGATTTGCGTTTTTGCTTAGACACGTGTACGCCGGTCACCGAGATCGGCATCTCCATCGCCGCAAACGAGAAGAACCGCTTCTCCGAGAGCGCCAGCAGCTGCGGCGACTGATCGGCAGGTACCGCGCCCGACCACCGCAGGTCCGGATTCGATAGCGCGCCTAGCTCGGCCGAGAACACCCCGGCTGCCGACGCCACCACACAGCACGCGATCGCCAGCGCCATCGCTGTCAACGTGCACGCCCCGAGGTACAGGTCCTCGTGCTCATCCCACTGCGCTTCGATCGACTCGTCGAGCGCCAACGCACACGGCAGGTAGCAGCAGAACAGCGAGAGACACGGCATGACAACGATAAAGCTCACCAGACCGAGCGAGAGTGGGATCGCCGGATTGCCCGTTGCATAGCCGAGCCACATGACCCCACCCGTCGCCGCCGCGTACATGAGCAGTTGCGCCACCAGCATGAGCCGCGTGTACCACCCGCCGCAGCACCGCCCGCACGCCGTCGACCGCAGCTCGACTTCAGACGACTCGTCCGCCCCTGCTGCGCCCTGCGTCCGGTACGCCGCCATTCCGGTCGGCCGCGCCGGCTGGCCGGCTTCGGCGTCGCCGTTCGCACCTGGTCGTGGCAGCGGTGGCACGGCAGGTGTGACAGCACTCCGCGGCGGCGGTGTCGGTGGCGGCCTGGGCCGCACTCGCACCGGTCCGTTGGCTGCCACGGCATCCTCGTACGTCGGGAGCTCGTAGTGTGAGTTGGGATCCATCCCGTTTGGTTGGGCGGGGAGAGCTGTGTCGCTCATTCCGCTCCCGCATTCGCCACGCCGAGTTCAATGGAACGGCCGCCGCCGGAGCGAGAGGCTCGAGACCGCCACGGGCGGCGTGTCAGGAATAAGCAGGTCATCGGTGGGAATGGTTGGCAGATCGTCGTCGTCGTCGGCGTCGAGCTCATGAGCAGCGGTCCCGTTGGCACCAGTCGGCGCGAGGGGCCCGGCCGAGAGCTCAGGACGCGGCACGCTCGGCGCCACCGGCCCCTGACTCGGCGTCGGCTCGCTGCCGCCAGTCAGGATAGTCGAGCCAGCCAGGCCAGATGCTTGGACTGGCGCTGGCGAGGAGACCGTGGCCGGCCTCAGTGGCGGGCCAGAGTCCCCGTGATGCGCCGGGAGCTGCGGCGCGATGCCGGCTGGCGGCCGAAAGGCGGCCGAAGTGACGGCGGTGGCTGGTGTGGTGGACGTGTCATCGAACGTGGACGGCCGATGGCCCACATCGCTGTGGCCGATGTCGTCATCGCCGCCGCCGTCGCCTGAACTCGACTGCGAGTCGTCGCTCTCACTCTCGTCGCCACCGCCGCCAGTCACGTACTTGGACCACTTGGATCGCGACGGGCCGACGGCGGTGCGGCGCGCAGGCCCAGCGCCGCCGCCGCCGCCCTGCGACGAGACAAGTCCGTTGAGTCGGCGGACCCTCTGCGACGATGGCTGCGAGAGCCAGGTCTCGAAGAAGACCTGGCGCGCGTCGTCCACATCGTCTGGGTCGTCGACAAGGTGCGCGAGCTGGAGCCTGTCCAGAATGAGCGAGCGCTGCGCGCCGTACTCGAGCTCGGGATCGTCAGGGAAGCCGGAATGGAGCGCTGAGGTCACACCCAGGAGTGCGTACGTGTGCATCGAGGCCTCCATGAGCGTCACCGCCACAATGGCGTCCTGGATGAGGACGCGTTCGCGGAACATGAGCCGCGCGTGGCCCTGTGCGAGGCGGACAAGCGACTCGAGGAGCCGCAGCGTGGTCCGCGCTGCGTTGCGCGAGTCGGCCTGCCGTTGAAGCTGGTAGTACGTTTTGAGGATGACTTCGGCGGGCGCGGTGAGCCGCGGGTGGCACACCGCTTTGGCAAGGGCAATGTATGCACGCAGCTTCTCCATTGACCACGGATCGACCTCGGGCGCCGGAAGCGCCGGGTCGCTCGAGCGCGACGGATCCTCGCTGGACCGTGACGAGCGCCCACCGAGCGAGAACGACATCGAGGCTGGGCGGCCCGAGGCCCCGACGGTCCCGCGCGCCGACCGCGACTGCCGACCGGACAAGCCAGAGTGGCCGCCGGCGGTGGCGGCGTCGTCGTCACGCTCGCCATCGTCGCGCGGCTTGGTGTGGTTCTTGAGAATGTGTGCCGAGACGAGAGCGTCCCATGCCTCGGCCTGCTCGTCGAGGAGGACAAAGCAGAGGTCGAACCGCGAGAGCAGCGGCGAGGGAATGGCGGTGTTGACCGAGAGCGACTGGGTCGGATCGTACTTGCCCTTGGGATTACAAGCGGCAAAGACCGAGGTCCTCGTCGATAGCTTGCATACCAACCCGGCCTTGGCCACCGACAGCGTTTGCTGCTCCATGGCCTCGTGAATGGTGGCGCGGTCGTGGGCACGGATCGAGTCAAACTCGTCAATGCAGCAAAAGCCGCCATCGGCAAGGACCAGAGCGCCGGCCTCGAGCATCCACTCGCCGCCGGCGTCCTTGACCGCAGTTACTGTGAGGCCGGCGTTGGTCGAGCCGATGCCGGTGGTGAGGACCGAGCGCGGCGCGAGCTTGGCAGCGTACTTGAGAAACTGGGACTTGCCGGTCCCGGGATCGCCGACCAGCAACAAGTGCGACTCACCGCGGACCTTGAGGCCGGAGGTGTCGACGCTCTGCACGGCGCCGACAAGCACGATGGCCACCGCCATCTTGATGATGTACATACCAAAGATCTGTGGACAGATCGAGCCGAGGATGACGTTGCGCCCAACAAGCGGCGCGTCCTGATGACTCTGCCAGAACACCATCAGCTCGCGCCGCATCTCGTCCGAGAGTGTGAAGCCTTCGCGCGACTGGTTGTTAACCTGGACGTGGTTGGCAAGCACAATGAGCTCGAGCTCGGCGCGCTCGTCCACCTTCTCGCGCTTCCACCGACGGAGCACAATGCCGCAGACGGTGACGTCGTCGCCGGCTTTGCACGAGTCGACCAGGTCGTCCTGCAGAATGACCACCAGCGAGCGCGGGATCTTGCCCACCGCCAGCGACGTCATCTTCTCCTGCAGCTTGATCTCTTGGTAGTCGCGACAGAGGCCGAGCTCGGAAAAGAGGGTGAACGACGTCGAGGCGCAGTCGGTGTTGGTGCACCGGCTCGGCTTGTTGATCACGTTGTACCGCTCGAGGTCCGCCGCCGCCGTCACAATGGTCTTGCACTTGGAGCATTCGTACTCGCGCTCGGCCTCGAGCGACTTGAGCATGCCGGTCCGGATAATGGTTCCGGTGACCGAGACAAACAGGCCATAGTCGCACGACCGCGGCAGGTTGTTCTTGATGGTCTGCGGCGAGACCGGGAGCGAGCACAGCCGCGCTCTGCAGTTGGCCTTGAAGCTCCGCGCCACGCCCGTGGCCGACCGCGGCGCTCGCGCCAGCACCTTTTTCTGCACCGCCCGCAGCGCGGTGTCGAACAGCGGTAGCAGCTCGAGTGCGTGGCCGAGCACCATGTGGCATAGCTCGACGTTGTGCTGCATGAACTCGACCACAGACACCGCCACACCGTAGCAGACCTCGGGCTCGGGCTCGTCGAGCAGCCGCTCGATGTCCGCCAGACAATACGCCTCGACAAACTCGGCAAGCAGCTCCACATACTCGCCAGGCGACACATCCAGGAAGTCGCCGACGGGCGCCTGCGTCGACGTCGTCGTCATGGCGGTGCAGGAGCTGGCGGCCGCGGAACGGGGCCGAGTGGTGTGCTGTCCTCAAAAAGGTCGTGGTTTGACCATCGCCCGTAGCACGAGCCAGCCGGCGAGCCAGCCGGCAGCCGGCGAGTCGCCGCGCAAAAGGCTTGCCAAGCACCGTTTGCTTCAAGTCAATCAAGCAGCTGTCATGAAGACTGGCGCAGCCAGCGGCGGTATGAAAGCGACCGTCTCCAAGTCCATGTCCCATGTGTTGCCGGGATAGTCTTGATCATGGCGATGCGGCAAGCCTCCCATGGATGTGGGCCATGACGGCAGAGTCCCATCATCGGGAGCCTTCCATGGAATGTTCGTCACTCATAGCCGAAAGCAGCAAAGCCGCCGGCTGTGTGACGGCGTGGAATGGCCGTCACGCACGCGTGGGGCCGAGTCAATCAAAATCACGGTCATCGGGAGCGAGGGGCGGGCTGCGGGAGAGAGACGGGCATGGACGGCAAGTGGGCGGAGGGCGGCAGGTAGTAGAAGAGATGGCACACAAAGTGGTGGGTGTGAGCAGCGTGAGTGGTCCGTAGTGACGTTCCGGTGAGGGTGCGGAGGTGCGGCGAAAAAGGTGCCCGGGAAGCCAGCCGCCGGGGACACGCTCAACATGCAGGGAGGGGAGCGACGGAGTGTTGGAGCGGGGGAGGAAGGCACTCGACTTTCTGCTCTGCAGCTTGGAGAGCAAGGTAAGGAAGACGTCGTCGGACCCGCACGCCCTCTCCCCCCGTGACCCGAGCATGGCGATGGCAGCACTCTCGCCGCAGCAGGTGCACATCCGGTCGCAGCTGGAGGACGACTGGGAGGCGAGGCTGAGCCACGTCCTGGCCACGGGTGCACCCGAGGACGCTGTGGCGTACTTTTGCAAGGTGGTCTCCGTCCTCGAGGCCACCTACGGCACGGCAGACCCTGCTGCGCCATCGGCTTGCCTCCGCCCGCTGCTCATGGGCTACGTGGCCAAGACCTTGCAGACGACCCGCCTCTCGGGCAAGGCTCTTGCAGCCTTGGATGGCGTCGGAATTCGTGTTGGCGGCGCTGGGGCGCCCGAGGCCCTTGCCCAGGCTGCCAAGCAGGCCATGCAGACCACGCCTCTGGCTGCCTCGCCTGTCCTCTCGCAGTGCGAGCAGACCCGCCGCGAGGCCGACGCCGTCATCGCCTGTACCCGTGGCGTCAACAACGAGGTCGGTGGCGTCCTTGACGGCGAGTTTGGCTCGTGGCTCGACGCGTACACCGTCGGCGACGCCACAGCTCGCATGTTCAAGATCAACCACTGGGCAAAGGCTCTTGACGAGCACGGGAACCTCACCGACGCCCAGGTGGAGAACACTGCCGTCACCCTTGTCCAGGTCGCCATTGCACACTGCAACGTCATCTGGGCCCGTTTCCGCGTCCGCCCAGCCTCGGTCGTCTGGCTCATCCTCCGCGCCCTCGACATCCTCGACACCCGCGGCCTGTTCCAGGCTCTCGCAGACTCGGCCTCTGACGTTGCTCATGAGCTTTTTGACGGCTGGCTTCACGAGCTCCACCCGCTCGTCGTCCGCAACCGCGTCCATGCTCTCGCCGGGCAAATCATGATCTCGGCGCGCGCCGGTGCCTACACTGACGCCCTGCTGCAGTGGACTCGCCTCGAGGGCGAGGAAGAGTCGCTCAACGAGATGGTTCCCGACGCCATCAACATGGTCTCCGACGCCATCGCTGCCATCAAGTCGCGCTTCGCCGTTGCGCTCCAGGCCGAGCTCGCCCCGCTCACGCTCTCCACAGACGGCAAGGCCCTCTCGCTCCTCACTGCTGCTGTGGTCTCCAACACGGCCATTACCGCCGTTGCCTCGCGCTACGCAGCTGCCCTCGCCTCCATCCGCGGGCCGGCCGACTTTGCCGCCGCCCTCGCGCGCTCCGAGGCCAACTCGCTCGGCCCTATGATTTCAGACGACGTCATTGCCTGGGAAGCGTGTTCCGCGCAGCTGGCAGACTCAATGGTCGCCACCCAAGACATTGAGTACGTCTACCGCCACCTCATCTTCTCGCTCATCCGTCAGCACGAGTACCTCGCGGCAGACATGTTACTCCAGGCTCTCGTCGACCGCATCACCGCAGACGTCGCCGCCGGCTCTTCCATCGAGCGCGGTCAGTTTACCAAGCAGACTGAGGCGTACGACCCATGGCTTGCCCGTCGCATCCGCGTCCGCGGCATCCGGCACGCTTCGTCGCCCTCGGCCGCCTTTGCTGCCTTCCTCTCGCTCAACCTCACCATGGCAGACATGCTGGAGGACGAGCACCACCCGGTCGTCCACATGGCGCTTGCCTGCTACGACCATGAGCTCCAGTCCGGAGGCATCGGCGAGGCCGGCGCTCTCCCCGATGGCCTCGTTGTCTCGGTCGAGTGGCTCTGTGCCTCGTGCTTCTCCTTCCTCCCGCACTCGGCGCCCATGATTGTCGCCGATGCCGACGGTGTGCAGCTCTGTTCCACTTGCGCGCGCTAACACACCTGTCCCACTTGCCACCTTTACGCAGCCGCGTGTAGCAACAGCGTTTACTTCCACACCTTGACCACGCCGTCACGGCTGCCCGAAACTACCATCTTGGACGGCCGCTCCACAGACGTGATCGCGAGGATGGTGTCGGCGTGATGGGCCGGCGGCGGGCGCGGGCCGCGGACAACTGTACCATCGGTGGCGTGCGCCTCGCCGGCGTCATGTCCGTTTCCGCCGCTGACACCTGCGCTGGCGTCGGAGGTCGACGCCGCCCGTGCTCGCCCGCTGTCGCCGGTTCCGGCCCGAGACTTTCCGGCTCGCGTCGTGCCCGCCCGCTCGCGGCTGAGGCCTGACGAGCTGGCCGGCGCAGAGCTGACACTGGCCCGACCGCCGCCGGCCGCGCCATGGACTTCTGTGATAAACGCCGTCGCTCCATCTGCCGACGTCTCCGTGGTGTACATCGGCGACGGTCCGTGGAGCCGTGACCCGTCTGACACTGTGTACGACGCGTTGCCAGTGGCGAGGTCCCAGAGCCTGAGGCTCCGCTGCCCGCCGCCGGCGAGCACATACGAAACATTTGACGGCGAGTGCAGTGCATACGTCGCATGGTCAGTCTCCAGCTCGGGTGCAATCACGACGTCGACCGCGGCCTCCAGTCCGCGCTCGCCGGGCGCAAGCATCCGCGCTCGTGCCGCAGCTGCCACAGCAGTGTCGACCCGCGACGGTGGTCCGTAGAGAAACGTGCCATGCAGGCTCGATCCGCTCCGCGCTGCCGCTGCCGCGCTCGGGCTTGCCACGCTGCACACTTGCGTGCACTGTGCCGAACCGAGGTCCCACACCGACACGCAGTTATTCCGTCCTGCGCCCACCACCAGCCACGAGGCCTGCCATGGAGACGGATACTTGGAGAGCGAGGTGATCGGCTCGCTACCCGGAAGCGCCCATGCCGAGACCGGGAGCGTGAACCGCAGGTCCCACAGCGAGACCACGCCGCGCACGCCGCCAGCTGCCATCCACGCACCCGATCCATCGACGCTCAGTGCCGAGACCAGGCCGTACTCGGCCGGCACCTGCATTTGCCACGCCAGCCGCCGCTGGCGCATATCCCACCCGGCAAGCATCCCGCGCCGGGTCGCAAACACAATCGTCGACGCCGAGCCCGGCGCCGAGCACACGCTCACCACACCGCCGCCGGTGCCGCCTTCGAGTCTCCGCACTACTGTCGGCGGCATGTACCGCCGCGCTCCAGGCGGTGTCGGTAAAGGCGCGTAGTCGATCCGCACCACAGCCAGCGAGCCGTCGGCGTAGCCGGCCACTGCAGAGTGCGACGATTCGACAAACGAAACGGCGGTGACCCCGCTCCCGCTCCCGGTAAACGTCGCCATCGACCGGTCGGCAAGGTGTCCATCGAGGGCGTTGGCGTCCCAGATCTTGACACTTCCGTCGGACGAGCCCGACGCAAAGAAGACCGAGTCGTCAGCCGTCGCCAGCGCGGTCACTGCCCCGGAATGCTCTGCAAGGTGAGCAACCATGACACCTGACGGCGACCAGCCCTTGAAGCCGGTCTCCGACGGGAGCTCAGAAATTGAGCCAAGCTCGAGGTCGTCGAGTTTGTAGCCAGTCGGCCCTGAACCTGCACCGCTTCCGCCCGCTGCCACCGCCGCAGCACTCGACAACGCCGATGTGAGCCACGAGAGCGGGGCGCCGCCTTGGCTTCCCATGACTTCCAGCAGCGTCTCGAGCTTTGTCGACGACGCTTCGCGGACCGAAGCCATCGGGACCGAGATCGAGCGAACAGGCGCAAAGGCTGCGAGCGAGACATGGCTGGGGCCAGACTCGCCAGTTGGCGCCTCGGTGCCGCGGCGACCTTTGAGTGCAAGCTGGACCAGGTGGGGAGCATGGCCCACAACAGCGGGAGGTGCTCGCGCGGGAGTGGACTTGCATCAAAAATGGCAGCCATCGCATCGTGGAGGCTGAGCGAGAGCTCATCTATCGGTTCGAGCGCAGCCGCGGTCAGCGATGCCGCGCCAGCCGCCTCGTCGCCTGCAAGTTCACGGGCGCTCGCAGCGAGCGACTCGCGGACCCACCACGGGTCAAGCCGCGGGAGAAGGACCGGGCCGACCACGGCCGACGCATGAGCCGGCATAGTGTGTCCGCCCAGCTGTGTTGCGGCTGCACCGGCATGGTCGGCGTCGAGAGCGTGGGCAAGGTGGCAAAAGTCGGCAGTGTTGTCGGCGAGTGCGGCAAGCGCAGTCGTATACGTCTCGCGCGGGAGCGGTGGGTGGAGCGACTCGAGCAGCGCGTCGACGGAGAGCTCGGCAAGCGGGCGGAGGACGTACGGCCGCGCGAGCGGGAGGAGCACGCAGTGGACGTCAACGCTGTCAAACTGGTCACCAACCGCAACCAGCACCGCAACAGCAGCATAGCCGATCCAAGGATTTGGGTGGCCCAGCAGCGGCGCAATGCGATGGGCGAGCGCCGCGAGTTGCGGGTGCGAGATGAGCCGCAGTCGCGTGAGGGCAGTCACGCATGCACACGCACGGTGAACCACGGCCTCTTCGGGGTCGTCAAGCCCGATGTGGAGGAGCGGAAGGAGGAACTGCTCGACACCGGCGGTGCCCACCCGGGTGGCGGCCACCACCGCGACCACATGCTCAAAAAATTCGGCGCGGAGATGCCAGTCGCGGTCGTTGAGGTAGGTGATCATGTGGGAGAGGAGAAAGGCCGACGAGCCGGAGCGGTTGAAGAAAGTGGCGAGCTGCGGCAAGTGCGGCAGGAGCGCCCGGCGGACAACAGGCTGGGCATCGGTCAGTAGTACCATGGCGAGGCTCTTGATGGCTGTACTGAGGTCGTCGAGTTGGGCATCAAAGATGGGCGCGGCCGCCGCGGGCGGCGCGTCCAGCAGCGCTGACGCGAGAAGCGAGCGCGGCGTAGAGAGCGGCGTTGTGGCCGGCGACGGCGTCGGCGGTGAGATCCGGTACACCTGGCCTAGCTCGAGGAAGAGAAGCGCTGCGTGGGCTATGTCCGAGAGAGACGACGCAAGCGCGGTGCGGACCAGGACGTCCGGGTCATCCTCGAGACCCTCGAGCGCAGGCAGGATGTGCTCGACAAAGACATTAACCTCGGCGCGCGGCAGCGAGCGGACCGTCCGTAGCTGGAGCGCGAGTCCCTCGAGAACGGCGGCGCGGACCGCCGGTGAGCGATCGCCGATGAGCGAGAGCGTGTACGGCAGCGTCCGTTCGAGCATGAACGCGTCGCGGATGAACAGCGCGCCCTGGGCAAGCATGTCGAGGCCGGCAACTCGCGAGACGGGGTAGCGAGCGGCGGCGAGCGAGGAGCAGACAAGCGCGAGGACAATGAGCGCGCCATCGTCTGGTACTGCTTGCTTGTGGGCGAGGTAGGTGACGGCTGCAGGGATGGGTGCGGGGTAGGTCGGCGGGCGCGGCGCGGGGATGGCGGGCGTCGACGCGGTCGCTGACGCGCGGCTTGAACTTGTGGCGAGCGCGGGCGTGTCGGCGGCAGAGCCCTCGAGTCGCGAAATAAACTGCTTGAGCTCGCGGAACGCGGTTGTGGTGTCTTTTGCCAGGTGCTGCGGGAGCTCCTTACTGCGCAGGGACGGCACCGATGCCGGCGAGCCTGACTGGTCGGTCGAAGACGGCGAGTGCAGTGAAGCGTTAGGCGACGACGCTGGCGAGCCCGAGTATGCCGCCAGTCGCGACGGCGGGAGCCGCGGTGGGGCGGGAAGGTCTGCAATGGTCTGCAAAAGGCTCGGAAAGGCGTGGGCGAGCGCGGCGAGACGGTCGTCGGGGTTGGCGGCCGGCATGGTGGCCAGCAGCGGGTGGAGGTCCGAGGCAAAGTAGGCCGGGAAGAGCGGCGACGCGAGGAGGACTGAGGGCGTAGGCCGGGCGAGCGGGTCGAGGGCAACCATGGAGAGGATGAGCTCTTCAAGCGGGCGGTTGCCAAGCGCGGCGAGACGGAGCGCCGGGTCAAACTTGCCCTCGCGGTAGCGGAGGAGATCGGCGAGGTAAAATAGCGGCGTGTCTTCCAGGAAGAGCTCTGCGATGACGCAGCCGGCAGAGAAGACATCCATGGCCTGGGTAACAGGGCCGGTGACATCGTCGGGCAGGCCTGTGGCCGAGTCGTAGAACCGTTCTGGAGCAACAAAGCAGGCGCGGCGGCCAGACGAGTCAAAGAAGAACGAAAAGTCGACCGGATTGTCCTGCGGAATGAGAGTCGGCTTGATAGCTTGGGCAAAGTCAGAGAGGAAGAGCCAACCCCAGGAGGTGACGAGAACGTTCTCGGTCTTGATATCGCCGTGGGCAAGGCCGACATCGGCCATCTGCTCGAGAGCGGCGAGGAGCTGGAAGGCGATCCACAGCTTTTCCACGTGTGCTAGGAACGGGCGGGTAGAGAGGCGGTCATACAAGTCCTTGTACACGTAGGGGCGGGCCATAAAGCCGGCCTTGTCGGTCTCAGCAAAGGCGGAGAAGGCGAGCAGGTTGGGGGCGGTCTCTGGCGAGATGCGGTAGAACGGCTCCTTAACAATGACCTCAAAGGGCGAGAGCTCAGTGAGGCTGCCACGCTTGGCAAAGACCTTGAGGACGACATGGCCTTCAGCATGTGTGCAGTGGAGCGTCTTGAAGAACCTCCCGTTGTTGTTGAGCGCCGTCACGAACTCGTACACCGGCACGTCCTCCAAGTACGTGGTGGTGGTGAACTTGCGCTTGTGCTTGGCGAAGGCCAGCGACGAGACATTGCCCATTGGCGGCGTGGAGGGGGGGGGGGGGGGGGGGGGGAGGGAGGGGGAAGGGGGGAGAGGAGAGTTGGGAGGAGTCACGGTCACAGGCTTGGTTGACCGGCTTCCAGCTGACGGCTGCCGGCTGCTGCTGGGTGGCCGGCTTCGGCACGGCGACAGGGAACGGGGGAGGGAAGGGGAGGGAGGCACGCTCGACTACGACGGTGAGCGTGGGCGTGGACGTTGGCGTGGACGTTGGCGTGCCATGCCGTGGTTCCGCAGACGAGGTGATGTCGGAGGAAGTAGTAGCGGTAGTGGTGGCAGCGGTGGCAGTGGCGGCAGCGGTGGCAGCGGCCGCGGTGAAGGTGGCGGTCGTCGTGGAGGTGGGGCGGACGAGAGCCAGGAGGCGGCTGTCGAAGGTGTGTCGCCGAGGCGGGTTCGGGTGAAGAAGAAGAAGGTCAAGCGAGTGCGTAAGGAGAAGGACAAGGGCAAGGGCAAAGGAAAGGAGGAGGCTGTGGCAGAGGACATGGTTGTGACGGTGGCCGCCGAGCCCGAACCCGATGTGACGGCGTCTGGATCGGGTGGGGTGGGAACTCGATCGTGTTGCTGTCGCTGCAACTGTAGAGGCTCCGCTAGTCGGGATTGTGGGTGCCAGAGGCGAGGTCGATCCGGTCGTGGGAGACCTCGATCCTGCTGCAGAAGCGGTGGAGCCTGAGGCTGTGCCTGAAGGTGTGCACATGCAGCCGGAACCCGCTCCGCTGGCCGGAGACTCCCCTCGCTCTGCTGAAGTGGTCAAGAAGGTCAAAGTCAAGAAGGTCAAGGTCAAGAAGGTCAAGGTCAAGAAAGACAAGTCAAAGGCCAAGATCAAGGAGGAGAAGAAGGTCAAAGAGAGGCGCAAGGCCAAGACCAAGACCAAGGCCAAGGATCGGGTGTCGGAGATGGAGGTGGCCATGGTGGGAGCCGCGAGCGGGGGTGGCAAGCGCAAGAAGCGCCAGTATCGGTTTGACGTGGAGCTGCGAATTGACTCGCTCAACGACGTCCCACTCATCAACGCCACAATCCTTGTCGGATGGAAGGTGATCGGCGGCTCGCGGTCGGCGTCGGGCTCGACCGAGCCGGTCCGCATCGACTCTTACCGGGTCGAGTACGGCGAGGTCTTTGAGTTTGTGACGACGCTCACCTCGCGCGACCTCTCCGAGCCGCTCAACTCGCAGGTGCTCAGGCTGACGGTGCATCAAGAGCTGAAGGGCGGGCGGCAGCGAAAGAAGCTGGGCCTTGTGGACATCGATCTCGCCGAGGCTATTGGTTGGTCCGGCGCCCTTCCTGGGCAGCCGCCGCGGCTCCGGCGGTTCCTCCTCCAAGAATGCACCTCGAACTCAGCGCTTGCCCTCAGGCTTGTCTTTACCCAGCTGACCGGAAGCCCGGACTATGTGCCGCGCTCATCGCAGGCGTCGACATCAGATCTGGCCCGCTCATCGAGCTCGCTTCTGCTCGCGTCGGTGCCGTCGGTTGATGCCTTGGCATCCGAGGCCCGGTACCCGCCGCTCGGCGCAGGTCTACCGGCGCGCCGGCCCGGTGAGCTCTCGGCCGACGGTGTCGACTCGGGCATTGACTCGGGCGGGGGTTCGGCCCGGAGTGAGCGTGCGCGCCGGCTGCTTGCGCGGCGCAACTCGGAGCTCGGCCACGGATCGCGCGGTGGGAGCTCAGGCGGTGGTGGTGGCGGCGGTGGGGGTGGCGGTGATGGGTGGCCTGGAGCCGGGGCAGGGGGCGGCCATCTACGGCTGCCGGGTGGCCTCCCGCCGCACCCACGCGAGCTGAACGAGTCGCTCGAGCTCATGCAGTCGCACAACACCGGGCGGCTCCGGCTCGGCCGCAAGACCGGCTCGCACTCGCTCCTCGACACCGACCGCATCGTGCTCTCCGACCATACTTCGGACGTGCTAGGACTACCGACGCTGGACGCGGCGACGATTGCGCAGAACATGGCGATTGTGGCGGAGCTCTTTGACGACCTCGGCATCTCGCTGCAGTCGATGGCCGACACACTGCTGGCGGTGCCGACGACGCGGCGGGCCTCGCTTCCGTCGCCGGGCACTCCGCTCTCGGCAGTTGACGACGATCTCGGTGACTTGTCGGCCGGTGAGCTGGAGGCTTTTGCCTGAGTCGAGCTTGCTATGCAGTTTATCCCTTTGTACCGGCATGCACACGAAAGATACTACATGAACAGAGTCGGATCGGTCATGTGACCGCCAAACAGCAGCGCCCACGACGGCGGGACCGTCCACTGGCTGGTCGTGAGCGGGAAGTTAAACGCCTGGTGCAGGAGCGAGGCCATGTTAAGGGCGTCGCGGATGTTGTCGCCCTCGGCGGCAAAGGCCTGGACAACAAGAACCGGGAGCTCTGTCGCGACCGCGGCGTCGTAAACCCGCGCAGAGAGCCCATGCAGGCCCGAGCGCGAGGGCGTGACCTCGTCGCGGACGGTTGCCGGATCAATGGTCGGCACAGCGTCAAGCGGAAGAACCTCGGGATCACGGGTGAGTTGGGAGACACCAGCGTCGGTCAGGGCCGCGAGAGCCGCGCCTGACGCCACGCCGAAAGGCTCGGAGGCCTGGTACCGGAGCTGGATCGGATCGTCGATCTCAGCCTCCAGTCGCAGCGCCGCGTCGGCCGAGTGGAGCCAAACCAGCGCCGTTGCCTGTGCCTTGGAGAGCCAGCCAACAAGCCGAGTAGCAAAGATAGCGCGCTTGCCCTTGATCAGCGGCGCCCGCTGTTGGATGACTGCCACCCGGGCTTCATCGGCCACATACACGTCCAGCGCTGACGCCATTCCTGTCACATCGTCCAGCGTGGGTGCGTCCGGCGTCGCAGAAGCTGATGCTGTCGCTGCAACAGCAGCAGCGGCAGCAGCCGATGCCGCCGGTGCGTGGTACGGGTCTGCGCCCACAACAGGAACGACCAGATCGGTGTCGAGCGAGCCGACCAGCCGCATGTCGAGCGATGCCACGAGGATGTCTGCCGTCAGCTGGCCCACGTTGCCGATAGAGAGCGATGGCTGTGTGTGTGTGTGTTTTGAGTTTGTGTGAGAGAGTGTGTGTGAGTGTGTGTGTGTGTGTGGAGGGGTGGGGTGAGCGAGAGGGAGGAGGGGGAGGAGGAGGAGGAGGAGGAGGAGAGCGTACCATGAACACCGTGTAGCCGTCAAGGCAGAGTGGAGCCGCGGGTGTTGGGCGGGAAATGAACCGCATGATAGGGACGAGGGGGGGGGGGGGGGGGGGGGAGGGGGGAAGGGAAGAAGAAAAGTGCTGTGTGTGGGGGGGGGGTAATAGTAGTGGGGGGGGGGGCCACTCTCGGGGCTTGTGGTCGCGAGGTCGCTCACTCTCTCGCTCTGCTTGTCGCCCAGCACTCGCCCCCCTCTACCAAATTAAATATAGTCTGTCGTGAATATAATGAGTCTGACCTGCACGCGCGGGATTTGGATTGTTCGGGGAGGATGGGCGTCA